AGAGAGACAGAGAGACAGAGAGACAGAGAGACAGACACAGACACAGACACAGACACAGACACAGACACAGACACAGACACAGACACAGACACAGACACAGACACACACACACACACGCACACGCACACACCAAGAAGCAGCTTCACACCACCCAATAATCAAAGCTGAAACGAACCGAAACCCAAGTCGCGAATCCAAGTCGCGAAAACACAAGCCTACATAGAGTCTTAGAGGCGGTTCGACTCCTCCCTCTTCGGGGCCTTGATGGGCACTTGCTGGCAAGGCCGTCACCGGCATGCCTTCGGCCACGCACCTCCAAGCAACCATGTGAAGTATTCCTCTTAAGAAGAGTATTCTCTTCACCAGTACGGAGCTGATAGGACAAGCCGGTGTTTTCTTGTAGCGGATGCAATTTTGGAGGTGTGTTGGTCTTGGAGGCATCGGAAGCCACCTGCCATGATCACCAGGTTCTTGTTCGGGCCGCGGCCGATCCAGCTGCTTGAGCCCGTGCCTTAGAGCCTTAGATGCTGATGTCGGATGCCCCCTTCACGAGCCTAAAGCCCGAAGTAGCTTTGGTAAGATTAGCATCGGCTTCTGCAAAGCACTCCTCTAGACGACCACGGTGGAATCCGGCAACAAAGAAACCGAGATTGGGCACCGAATGGCCTCTATGTGTGTAGCTGGGGACCCCCGTTCTGCTGACGGGACAGGGTGTCAAGCAAAAAGTCCCCTGAAGCGCAACCCAGGCTAGGCACTGGGGTGGTGCTTCTGCTCGGCGCAGTCGGGCGCTTGGGTCCCAACGCCAACGCAGCCGTTTGCAGCTCGGCGCTTTTTGCCTGGGGCGTCTCCTTCTTGGCGGCGACGAGGCAGGGGGTTAAGGGCCCCCTTGAAGGTTCAGCCTTCATGGTTGAATCCCTTTCTGTATCCTCCAGCGCGTCAGGGAGTTTATCGTGTTGTTTTGTGGGTCGAAGCCGGAAACCTCGGACTTCTTCTCCCTCGATCACCCACCGCAGGGAATCGCCGCTGCCGCCGCGCGAAGACTTTGCCGCTTAGAGATGCATTTGTACACGCAGTGGTATGTAAAGCCTCCACATCACCCTAATGACTAAAACCCTAGTTAATTAAAGGCTTTTCAAGTTTTTCTAAACATGCATCTGCGGTTGGCGCATCGTGCAGCTCTCAAGCCTTTGTCCACTGGTGAAGTCCAATGATGAAATCACGACTCAAAGTAGACTTGGCGAGGGGTCGCCTTCATTTTTTGCCTTCAGGGATTCAGGGCTTCCACGCAGGTAGCCAGATAGACAGATAGAGATAGATCGATAGATCAAATATAGTAAAGAGTAGTTCATAGAGTACTATATAATGGTATGCCCTAAACCCTATAAATCCTAAACCCTGTTGAGTCGGAGCCACATTGAAAACCCAGGATGATGAGCCCGGAGCCTCGCCGCAGCTAGCGGCACTCGCGGTACTGGCCCTCTTCATCGCTGCCCTGGTGCTGATCCCAGGCTCCTTTGGTGGTTTTAGGGTTTTGCGTTTTGGGGTCTTGGTTTTGGTTTTCGTCGAAGGTACCTAGGCTTTGTACAACTTCGTAGGGTTTGGGGACTCGGGGATTTTGGTTTACTGTATTTTGCTGTTCAAGCTCAGGAGATAGCTGTTGCGTCTTGTCAGTCTAGTCTGAGAAAGATCTTCAGCCGTTTGATGGATGTGCCACTCTCTACAGACACGCGCTTCGATCGAGGTCGCATCATCAGAAACGCTCGAACTCGAACGCCCCTTTAGAGCCGATTGGCTTGTTGACGCCCACAAAAGCCCTAAGCGACCTCTGTGTTAGGCAAGCTGATCCCATATGGATTGCTGCGAGTCGCAACCGGCTGAGCTCTGCTGTCTTCGGCCGAAATCTGGGAAGCAACTTCCCTCCGAGTAGATGTAGGACCTCTGATTGATCGCGTTTCCGTTTCTTATGACGGCATGCCATGTGATTGTCATCATGGTAATGACCGGCAAGTTATGCATGTCGGATGCTAGCTTCCGTCGATGTGGCTTTCGTCGACGTGCGCGGCGGATGCAAAACGACTCAGTCGTGGTTTATTCGGCCATCGGTGGTAAGTATATATTCAAAAATATTCAATTCAATGTGTTCTCTGGGCGAGTTCCGAAAGAAGCTACATAGGACAACCTTGGGTCCTGAGCCGTGAGTCTGCATCTGGGCAGCTGTTGGCACAGAGTCGCATGCCTTGTGAACCGGCTGGCTTCCATAATTGGCCCCTACGATCCGCAACCTGCACAACAAGAACCCCGAACCCGAAGACCCTGCAAATTTTGAAGAACTGTTCGCCGGCGCAGGAGCCATCTGCAAGATCCCACTGACTTACTTTCGCAAGAAACAGTCTGAACTGCAAACCAGAAGCCGAAATTGCCTTCCTCTCTTGTCCCACACGCCCAGGAGCCTTGAGACGCTTTGTCCGTACGCTGAACGCCCGGCCGCTCTTGTGGCTCTGTCCTGTGCAGGGGCGGCGGCTGCAGGAGGTAACTCCCCCGTAGCTGGCACTTTGCTGCAGCTGCCGACACTGAGACTCGGCCGAAACACATTCACTTTCAACTCCTAACGGGGTCCGTCGTAGAACAAAGGAAGCCAACAAACCCCTCAACCTCAGGCATGCTTAAGCCGAGGTCGAAACCCCAAAACCTTGATTTAGCCTTGAGGGTTTGCCTGCGATGCCCAAGTCTGAGTCTATAAGCGTGGAAAAATCGGAGTACGCGTGGAATGGAAAGAGGGAGGCTTAGAGCTTCCTCTGCCAGAGACAGTTGTCTTCTGGAAGATGGCTGCGAAGCATAAGATAGTCCTATAAAATACCCACATACGGACCCAAAGCTTTAGGACAGAGAGAAGCAAGGAGACATCGACGAGTGATACATAACAAGAGATAAGAGAGTGGGACCCAAGCATGATGAAAGAAGAAAGTGGCGGGATGCCTTTGGCAGAGCACTGGGCCCAAAGGAGGCGCAAGAGGCCATGGCAGACCTCTTCTGTTTGAAGCCCTTTCTCAGCCTGGCCCGTTTGAACACCGAACCTCTGCCCCCGTGTTCACTAGACCGTCGTAGGCGCCCGATGGCATGCTGCGGCATCCTCGGCGACCTGGAGGACCGCGTGTGCAGGCTCGGAAAGAGGGGTTTGTGCAGTATCAGATATATAAATATATATATATATATGATATATATATATATATGATATATATATATATGTATATGTATATATAGAGAGAGAGAGAGAGTATGTAGAGTTCGGAAATTTGCAGTGCCGGGCTTGAGGGCTCCAGGGTTTGGGAAGCAGGCAGAGGCGCCGCAGGTCGGCTGCAACAGCAGCCGTAGCGCCCTGAAATCTGAACCGATTTCCCAAGCCCGATCCTTTGCCAAGCCTCTTTTTGATTCCTGGTCCTCTTTACATTTAATGACAGCCAATACACCCGGAAACCCTGCAAGAAACCTGAAACCCTAAAACTAAATCCTCAAAGGGACAAAACCCCACAACTCCTGTTGCAAAAACCTTTCAGCCAGTGCCACTCTTCTTTCTTAGCAGGTCTCGACACCCTCGACCTTGTCCCGAGACCCTTTTTACACATAATCCATCGAATAAATCCAACTTCGAAAGGACTGCGGATTGATTGCATGCACGAAAGCTCAATAATAGAGTTTGGAACACCAGGGCTGAAACTAAAGCTTAAATCTCTCTGCCCAGAGCCAAACCTGTATAAGCTCTATAAACCCCAGCCCACAGCTCTAAATCTCTAAACTTCTGAGCGCTTCCTAGTTCGCAAGCTGTGAAGGCCAAAAAGTTTCAGGTGGCGAGAAAATCAACAGAGGAGGTTTAGGGTGTATAAGGTAGAAGGACTAAATGCAACAGACAAAACCCAAAATGCCGACCACCCCAACAGCCGCAATTCTTCGCCTTCTACTATAGAGTTCCTATATATATATATATATATGGTACCCCCCCCCCCCATGTACCTACCATT